CCAGAGTTGCTGATTTTTCTCAAAATGACTTCTCTCTGTACCGGTAAGTTTTATCTTCTTTCAAATTAAATTCTCCGGTTTAATTTACTTTTCGGAATTTAGTCGGTTGGAAAAAAACAATAATGGGCTAATTTAATGTACAAGTGGGCCGCCAGCTATTGGGTCTTTATTCACCCATCTGGTAATATTCACGTGTCTGCGTTTTCTTAACTTGGAGATAGACCCTCGTGTCGTTTTTAAATGCTGGAAGACACCGTCGTGCCGTTTTCGGATTAGTAATTTGGTAAATATACCAGAAATGGAAAAATCACTTTGGAGACAAAACAATCCATATTTGGAAAAAAGTGATTTGGACTATGAAGGAAAAGTGAGAACCCCAATAACACTCACTTTGTTCAATGCGCACAAATAGTTAAAGAAAGATAAAAAAAAACCACAGTTTCCGAGAGAGGGAGACATGGACAAATTATCACTTGATTCTGTTTTTAGTTTTAAGTTAAACTAATAGTCTCACAATAATCTTTCTTTTGTTACTAAATTACTAAAATAGCAAGTTGTTGACAAACCTCAACTTTTTTGGTTTTCTCTTGTATTTCATGCATGGTGCAAGTTTGGCAATTCATTTAAAAATTTCATCAACAATTATAATTAATTTTCTTATTCATTTTCATTGTAGCTAACGACCCCATCTTTAACAACTAGTCGGTATGTCAATTCGAATTCTTCTTAATCTCAAAGTTACGAGAATAATAGAAGAAAAAAATGATTCAATTCGTTTTGTAACCAGGGAGAAAAACGTTTTACACAAGATTCATTCAAATTAAGAGCAAGAACAAATAGTAGATTCCAGATTAAGTTCTGGAGAGAAAGTAGGGATTTTTTTCCCAATCTTGAACTCGTATTGTTCCTTTCGTTTCAAGTTTTTGTATCAATCGGTTTTGTAGTTCTTTTGTGAACGAGAGTGATATATTATGAGATTTTGAGAGCCTTTAATTCTCACTAACTTTATCATAAACTGCAATATAGAGAGTTGTAATGTTTGCATTTTGATTAAATTGTCAGACATTATATGAAAACATAAGTTTGTAGTAAACTAGGTAACTATTCTGTTTTAGTACATGTATATAATATTTGTACTTTTTGGAGTACCACTCACCAAGAATTTGGGAATATTACATGCACAAAAACTCTCGATGTACATGAAGCTTAAAACGTGATGGGGTTTGGGAAATTTCAAGGGAAATTTAAACTATTGTTTTGCTACACGTAAAAAGATGAAACATTTTGTCGGTAACCACCGGCTTGGCCTAAAATAATTTTCTAAACCCTAGATCATATATATTGTTTAATTATTTCATTCCCTCGAACAAATGATGCTGTAATGCTGATGCCTTTTCTTTTTAATATAAACTAATTGGATAATCACATGATGAGAAATTATCCGTATATTTTTTAGCAAGGGTCCATATACTTGCTGCATTTCCATATCTGCATTATTTCATCAGTCAAATACATGAGCCACACAAATATACCTTTGAGACAATATTAAATAAAAACTCGAGATCGTGCACGATATCTATACTTTTTTATGTGTCGACCTTTATCGAACAATGAAAAACCATGTGTTATACTTTTTTATGTGGTGGTTTAGAATTATAAAAATCGTAATGGTTTCAAGTTTTCTATACTATTTTCGGATAGATATTGTCATCTTATTCATATATGGATATCCCCTTACTTTTTTCGGCATCATCAGTTCTTTGAAACTTAGTTCAGAGACGTACGGTTCCAATATAAAAAATCAAGAATTATGTACTAGTGTAGATATATAATTATAAAAGTCGATATCTAACACATATAGCATATAAAAAGAAAAAAAGATTTCAAACTGTAAATATCTTTTTAACCAGAGGACGATGTAAAGTCGTGACCCATGCATGGTTCCAATTCCAATCATCGGGAAAATACAAATTACAAGTATAAAAGTCTTTTTTTTTTTGGTTGTCAATTTAGGTATAAAAGTCTTACATTGCAAAATACGAATAAGGCAAGAACACAATCGACCCCTATGTATACTAATTAATAATATCTCTCAACCCATCAAATAAATCAGGGAGGAAAATGTGTACTTTATACATGTTACTACTTACTACACTGCCCAAACACAACATTACGTATTATTATTATAATTATTATTATTATTATTATTTAAGAGAGACCATCGTAATATATCCATAGTCGTCATAACCGAAGATTTGCCTTAGAATGTAATATATCATTCAAAGAAATTAAGCTTTACTTAATAATTTAACCCCAAAAAAGCATTACTTTTAATATGGCTATACCTTTTAATGCAACCCTGTAGCGAGTTAGTGGCTAGATTCTCCAGCACGTGGACATGACTCAAATCCTAAACCATATGGTTAAGTTCTTTTGATTCATCCATCATCTACAATTTGATTAATCAGAGATGATGCTCAAAGAGGTTGAAAATGCAAATCCAGTTTCAGTTCAATTCGGTTTTGAAGTTGAAACCATTGTCTTTAGATGCAAATCTATACTCATCACATATAAACAGATTATGAGAAAAATGAAAATTTGTAGAAAAAGAAGGAGCTCCCTTCAGTCCAAACACAGATAAAGAAGGATCAAAAATATCTCCCGCATCATTCACACAGTCACTGCGGTTTAAATTTATCGTTTCTCTACCACGAGTGTTTGGATGGATGAGTCGGCAGATATTTCTACCCTCTTCTTTTTCTATCCATGACTGGACTGAAAGAATCTCCTTCTATATCTATCTATTTTGGTCTTGATTCATATATATACTTTTGAAACAATGAAGGGCCACACACACTTATGAAAAGCAGGTTATTCTACAGAAGAATACATTAGGCATGAATAGTTTCAAACACATGCACTTATTGCTTTAAATGGGCCATCAACAACTAGACAAAAATGTGACCAAGACAACTTCCTATGTACTTATATTTGAACATTTAGTTTGAAAGGTTATTGCATGTACTTACTTATAAATGCATCAGCAATGAATTAGAATGTCAACTTATAATGTAATAAGTATATATGAATGAACTTAACTTACAAAGTTTGGATGGGGAGTTTTTCTTTTGAAACTTCACAGAAAGAACCAAGCTTTACTGTAAAAGTAAAACTACTGATGGGTCTTGTCAAGAAGAGGCTACCAAGAGAGAGACAAAGAACGAACTGTTCATCAAACATTGAAATCATAAAAAACATTAGTTTTTTTCTTTAAAACTTTGAAATTGGTTTCTGAGTGATGTAAGCCCTGTGCGCAGATGAACAGTTCCCGTAGTAATAACTACATTAATAATAACTACTTGAGTAAATATATACCTAATCAGCAGACAAGTCCAAAACATGTGTGAAAAGATTCTACCATAGTCATTGCAGATCATGAGAAATAAATTAAGAAAATATATAGAAAGACTTAATCTAAGGTAATCACCTTTTAGAAAATACAAGCTTTGGACCAAGAACTATTCAGTTCTTTTTCATGAGATCTCGGTTTCTGGAGGGTTTGTGCAAGAGATTGAAGTCCAAAATCAGAGAAATTGCATTATATGCCTTCAATTTGGACAAGGGGAAAAACCCTAAAAGTAGAGAAATTGATGGAAAGCACAATATTTTCTTTTCTGTGGACAAAGGTAAAGAAGAAATCTGAAGCGAGCCAGGAATGATTATATAAATATAGACCTTAAGACAAGGAGAAAAAACCCTAAAGGCAGAGAACTGATGAGAAATCGATTATCTATTCATGTGGTTGAGGGATTAGATCTCAAGCAAGTCACAACTAATGGTACTAGATATATGATGATATGACAAAAGAAAACCCTTACATGGCTCTTGATGTTTCACACTCAGATTTAGGAGCTGTCTGAAAACCCTAGCTAGCTCTCCTTTTGAAATCTTCTCAACCCAATAGAAACTATAAGTGGAGACTGTTACTTATAGAATAAGGTGAATTAAGTAGGTGGATGTTGCAACTAGCAACTAGCAAGTGGTGGTTCAAAGAAGGGACAAACAAAAAGAGATGACGATGATAATGATGAATGATTAATGATAATGATGGTGGTGATGTTGGGTCATTGTCTTCATGGGATTCAGGGAAAGCTAACTGTTTCTTCATATCTCACCATATCTTCCATAAATGAGAGAGAAAGATGAGAGAGAGAGAGAGAGTACGAGAGACAGAGAGCGAGATGGTGACTTGTGTAATCTTGTGTTGTGTTTCAGGATTGTTTTAGGGGGATGATTAGAATTGAATTATGATGGGATAGAGCCATCAAGAGGTTCATCAGCCAGCTTTTTAAGGTTCTTTCGTTTTCTTTAGGGATCACATTTAATGAGAGGTGGAAGAGCTTGAGAATTTAGATAATGTTTTTATCTAATTAAGTCGTCTTTTTATTTATACATTTTTATTTCTTATTTTTTAAGCATTAACGAGTGGACAGGAGATACATAGTAGTAGCTAGAAATCATATAATTGGAGACTGAGGATTATTAGTGTATAATATAATCGGTCCCGAAAAAATATGCACCGTTGTCTTTATGTATGCAAGAATCTCACAAGCTCGTGAACACAAATCCCATCTAAGCGAGAGAGATAATATGAACATCGCAAGTACTAATTACTGAAAATTTCGTGAAGGATTCAAAAAGTATATGGAGTCATTTATTTTGACTTCTAAATTTGTTCTATAATGCAAGTTGTATCATCAATAGTTGTTAATTTCTTTTAGATTTGAAGATCCTTTTACTAATGCTCGAATACACATCATATCAAATTATCAATTATCCTTTTTACAGTGAATCTTAGTAAGCTATTCACAAGTTATGCCATAAAAAAAAAACAATGTAACATTTCTTTTAGATTTAGAGATTAATTTACAATAAAATTTACATTGTTTTTTGTTTGTTTTCATATTAATATAATTAAGATTTGGTCTATGCATGGTTTCATACTTATGGTCTATTTCTCTATTTATGCTTGTTATTTTTGAGCATGGACCATGCTTATATTCTATATTGTTCCAATTTTATTAAATTGGTAGAAAACAAACTTTAGGCTGCTACCTTTGATTCTATGCATCTCTACATGAAATCTTCTTTTAAACTATTTTAATCAATTCAATCTTTATTATCAGATTTTTTTTAAAAAATGTATATTAAATTACATATATAGTAATTGCTAATTAAGTAAATTTTAAAAAACGTTTAGAGACAGAATTATAACATATGACAATCTTACCCCTGCCTACCTGTCATCTGCGAACCGACCAAAGTAGTGAGTGGGCATGGAGTTTTGAACTGAGACACTTGTGGGTCCTTTGTGTTGTGCTTTGTTCCTTCCTTCAAGAAAGTAAGACGTAAAACCCGATCAATAATTCGGTATCCAATTAAACCCGACCCGGACGAATCAACCTGACCCGACCCGACCCGATATTTCTTCAATTCGATCGATCACCATTGATCCCCAATCGCTGCTACGAACAGCAAGCTTCGGCGAAAATGGGATTCATTACGACTCTTTAACTCATCGATCCCAATTTGAAAACTCGCATTTCCATTGATTCCTTTGATCAGTTCTCAAGTCGAAGGTAATTTTGAATCAGGCGCGATACTCCAAGTTAGGATCTTCGGTTCGAGCTTTTGTGTGATCGATCTAAAAGGCTATAGAATATGGTGAAACCATCGGATTTCAAAGCAATTCAAGGGTTTATTCGGCTGCATTACACTCGGGTCAACCCTGTCACAATTGGCCGATCAAACCCATCAGCTTTGTCTTCTCCAGCTATTCCCTCCAATGGTGTTTCTCAGCTTCAGCCTAAGTTTAGCTTCCACAGCTTATCCTCGAAACCCACTTCCAAAAACGTGGGATTATATCAGATTCTGTCGTCTCCTAAGCTCAATCCTAAGTTGCAGCAAGCTTTGGGTTTGCCTCGTGTGAATGTGAGTTTTGCATCGGCGTTTAGATTGGTATCCACTAAGAGCTCTGGATTTCGAAAGGTTGATGGGAGTTTTGCGAGAAAGGTTGTTGATAAGCCTGTCAAAGCTGTTAGTTCTACTTTTGCTAGATACCGTGAGGCTATAGGGTTGCACATTGATGCATTTTGGAAAAAGAATAGTCTTGTTGTGTTTGGAGCTGCAGGTGTTTTTGTATGTATTTTCCTTTGGCGGATTATGTTTGGAATTGCTAGTACGTTTGTTGGCCTCTCAGAGGGCATGGCCAAGTATGGGTTTCTTGCACTCTCCTCAGCCATTGTAGCATTTTCTGTAAGTTTCGCTCTTTATGTGCTTTTCGATGGGAATTTGTGCTTCAATTCTTGGTGGTTGGCTCCATTTCTTAGTAATGTTTCAGTGATGATCTCGCAATGTTTGCCCAACTCAGTGCCATGAAGTTGTCCTGAATAAAAATGAAACTGAGGAATTTCTCTGTAGGGTTATTGGTTGATAGTGAATGGATGTGGAGCTTACAATGATATTGGTTTGATTTTACCACGACTAGAGTATAGGTTCATTCTCCTTGTTAACTGATCTCCTTCACAGAAATACAGGAGATCTTGCACTGTATATTTCAAGTGTCTTATAGCATGATATTGTTTATGGAATGCAAAAACTGCTATATGATATGGTTTGTTGCTGTTACAGTCTCCTACTCCCGTATCATTTAGGAATCACTCCTTGACAGCTATCTGCATTTTTCTAATAATAGGGATTATACCTCCGCTCAAGGTTTACAATTAATCCGGATAAAGTTTATAGAATGACCATGAGGAAGATCAACACGGCAGCTGAAATTCTAGAAGTTATGGGTGCTCCTCTGTCAGGATCAGATTTACGAGCGTATGTGATGTCAGGTGGTGGCATAACATTTAAGAAATTCAAGCCAACAATTAGGAGCAAGCGCTGCTTTCTTCTATTCCCCGTTCAGGGTTCTGAGCAAAAGGGCCTTGTTAGCGTTGAAGTTAAGAAGAAGAAAGGCCAGGTTTCACTTTCTCAACTCCTCAGTTCCTCGTTTACTCAACTTTTTTCTGTCTTGTTCATGTTGTAATCTTCAGAGTTGTAATTAGCTTTGACAAAGTTCAGCAGCTCAACTCTTAGCTATAGGTCTACTGTATCTAGCCTAGGACTGAATGTTGTAGATTAGAGCTGTTGTGAGTTGGCTAGAGTGCAGTTTGCGAAGGGCTGAGTTTATAAGGATGTCTCGGCAGATTTTTTGGTTGTAGATTTCGTAAGGTTGGTTGGGCATTTGGTTAAGCGGAGAGATAATCTTTTCATTCATCAATCTCTCTATGCTGGTGAATTTGGAAGAAGAATTGGAGTTTCATAGCTGTTCTTTCAGTTTCAGTTAAACGTTTAGGCTTGTATATATAACATGTGGAAACTGATATTACATGACATTGCGTATGCCTGTCTAGTCTTTTAGGTGCTTTCATTTTTTCATACCATCAGCGAATCCCTATTACCAATCACGCTCCCTATATTGTGAGTTTGGTCTACTTCTTATGTTCATGTGTCTGTTTCTTCAGTATGACATGAAGCTTTTGGCGGTAGATATTCCAATGGCATCTGGTCCCGACCAACGGTTATTTCTGATTGGCGATGAAGAAGAGTACAGAATTGGTGGTGGTTTAATCTCTGTGTTAAGAGACCCTGTTGTGAAAGCAATGGCAGCAACTAAGGAGTTCGATAATCTTGATAGAATCGAAGAGGAAGAAGACGCTGAAAGAGAACTTCAAGAAGCTGAAAGAAAGCATCGTGAAGAGATCGAGAAACTCGAGAAGGAGGGCTCATAACTCGTATTTTCTTCCCCAGAAATATTTTCTTCTTCGGTGGATATAAGAACAACACCATGAATCTTTTCCAAAACCCAGTTTTTTTTTGTTTTTGCTAACTTTCGAGAAATAAATTTCCCTGGCTATGTTTATCAGAGGATGCTATTGTGATTACTGATTCTTCTTCATACAAGATGTATCTCCTTGTTAGAGCAGCCTGTGCTGTGAAGAACCGTTTGGTTTAGAACTTTTGTCTTCCAAAGTATAAACTGGTGTAAGCTTAATAAAGGCCCACCATAGCCCGCCCAAAATAGACACAGCGTCATTTTCTATGTCGTCTTCAACCAGTTTCTGGTCTACAAAATTAGTTATGGTTAATCGAACCAATTTCCCATCGCATGTATGATGTAACCCAAGACAAATATAATGTTTTGTTGCTTAAATTGAACGTTCTCTGGATCCTTCTTGTTGATGTTTTTGATTCTTTTCACAGAAACTTTTGATCTTTGATCACGGATTTATCTCTTATTCATGCAAGAACATGAACAATCTTAAGTTGGCAAGATCTAGAAGTAATCCGTTCTTAATCTTCTTCTTTTATCAAACCATAAATAGCTAGGTCCTTTATTTGAGATCCTTATAATTCTATCTGTAAATTTCTCCTTATCTGTTTAGAATTGTTAATATCGAGAAAAATGGTTTTTTGTTTGTGCTGTTGATTCAGAGAGCTAATGATCCAAGCTAGTATAGAAAGTTAATGGGGAATCATTGTACAAGAATTTCTTGTTGTAAAAAGGTAAGACCTTTACCTTAAAATTTACGAGTTTCATGGAGAACATGTCGAATCTAACTAGCAAATTTTTATTAAACCCGTTGAATGTTCATAAGCATTGTGCAGTTTCAGATGAAAATGGTGATAGAAAATCTCATGTTCTGAAACAGGTGTGTTCATGTATCTGCTGTTGCAACAGAAGGAACAAGACTCAAGCTAGGAGCCAGAAAGGGTCCTACTTTATAAAAGGGAAGGTCCATCCGGTAAGTAGAATGGAGAAGTGGGAGGAGAAGATCACAGAAGCTAATAGTCATGGCAAAATTGTAAGCTCTTCCTCCTATGATTTGCCTTTCTATGTTGTTTTGCATTCTTCCTCTGCAGATAGCTCGACATGATCTGATTCTTTGTAACATGGAACAGCTTGTAGTGAATTTCAAGGCTTCGTGGTGTTTACCTAGTAAAACAATATTACCAATATACCAGGAGCTTGCATCCACATACACCTCAATGATATTTGTCACTATAGACGTCGAAGAGCTCGCTGTAAGTAACCAATCAACTTCTGTTACTTAGAATGATTCTTTGTGAAGATGAGAGATCTCGAAACTGAGCGATTTGGGTGTTAAAATATGTTTGATACAGGAGTTTAGTCATGAATGGAACGTGGATGCAACTCCAACAGTAGTGTTCCTTAAAGATGGGAGGCAAATGGATAAATTTGTAGGTGGAGATGCTGCAGAGCTTCAGAAGAAAACTGCAGCAGCTGCAAATCTCCTTCTTAGACAATCTTAACGTTTTTTCTAGTTTCCATGTCAGAAAATTATCCAAATAAAAAGTTGACCAGTATTTATATGCAGATCATGTTGGTATCACTGAGATTTTTGTTATTAACTTTGATGCACTCTTGTAGTGTTAATCTCAATCAACCAATATTAACTTTTCTGACTCCTTATTAAGACTTATCAAGAATTGCAAGAAGAGAATGAGAAGCATGTTATATAAATCAATTATCGATTTAGTGCAAAGCAAAACTCTGCTTTATCAGCAGATCTGTGTTGGTTACATACTGTTTATAAAATACAGCTTGCAACTATAAATCCCCTATATTGAGAAATTAAGTTGAGGCTGCGAAAAGAAATGTACCGGATGTTTCTATGAATCGGAATCTGACCCTGAATCAGTTTCTGCATCACACTTCACCCCAAACGGTCTCAATCTGTTTGTGTTTGCTTGCAATGGAGGCATACCATCATCATCATCACTCGAATCAACTTCACCGTCATCTTCATGCTGTTCAATGGGTGAGCTTTTCTCAGCTGGAATCGGTCTAGTATCTTTGAAGATTTCTGGCCTGCATTCACCATGTCCAAACTAACATGAGCTATAATTACTCAATATGAGAAGCCATCCATACAGAACAAAAGATAGAAGCTATACCATTCCGGAGACTTTTGAAGAAGACGGACTTGCTCAAAGAATAGAACTTTACATACAATAGATGTAACTTTGCT